ACACACACACAACCCCTATATATGATATGTGAGTGTTTGGGACCCCTATATATGATATGAGTGTTTGGGACCCCGTAGATGATATGTGAGTGTTTGGGACCCCTATATATGATATGAGTGTTTGGGACCCCGTAGATGATATGTGAGTGTTTGGGACCCCGTAGATGATATGAGTGTTTGGGACCCCGTAGATGATATGAGTGTTTGGGACCCCTATATATGATATGTGAGTGTTTGGGACCCCTATAGATGATATGTGAGTGTTTGGGACCCCGTAGATGATATGTGAGTGTTTGGGACCCCGTAGATGATATGTGAGTGTTTGGGACCCCTATAGATGATATGTGAGTGTTTGGGACCCCTATATATGATATGTGAGTGTTTGGGACCCTGTAGATGATATGTGAGTGTTTGGGACCCCTCTAAATGATATCAGTGTTTGGGACCCCGTAGATGATATGTGAGTGTTTGGGACCCCTCTAAATGATATCAGTGTTAGTACCTGGGCCTGTTGCTGGGCGGACAGCGGGCTCTTGAAGGCTTTGGCCATGATGCGTTTGATCTCCAGCCCGGTGCTGTTCTTCACACACATGGAGCGATCCCATTGGACGCTGTGGTCGGGCTCCGTGGGGTTCAGCCAGGCCAGCTCGTCCTCGCACACGTGCAGAGGGGGGGGCGGCCGGATGAACTCTGGCCGGAAGTGACCTGAGGAGGAAGAGAGAGAATATGAGATATCTATGGAGATTTTAAAGGGCTCCTAAGCCTCACCCCCCCTCTATTTCAGTCCTGTTACTAAAGAGCTGACTGTGTGAGGAGGGGGGGCGGAGAGAGAGAGAATATGATGAGGAGATTGTTTTTTATATATCTTTCCCCCAATTTATTTCAAGGTGAATACTGCTATATCTTTTAAGGGTTAGCTTTGTTAGTGACCTGAAGAGGAAGAGAGAGAGAGAGAATATGAGGAAGCAGCAACAGAGGAGATGTGTACGTCTATGGAGATGTCAAAGGTCTCCTATCATGCTATCTTTAGACACATCTTATAGCTCTCAGATATATACAGATAAATAAAAAACATGTCTGAAGTGTTTTGCTCCCTCTCTCTCAGATGTTACTTCAGCTTTTCATTGCCATAACTACACTGTAGCTAATGAGCACATGATGACAAAGACTTGAATCACTCACTCTCCAGGGGGGGGCGGGGCCCGGTCACCAGAGACTCGATGATCTGATTGGCCACGGAGCTGTCGAAGCCCGAGTTGGAGGAGTCGGGGTCGGGGTCGTTCAGGAGGCTCGGGAAGCTGGCTTTACTCTGAGTGGGAAGCTCCGACTGACGCTCTGAGGAACACGGAGGAGGGGTCAGGGTTATCACAACACCACCACACATTCTGCCCGCTCCCCCAACTGAAGGGAAACAGAACATTCATCAACATCTCTGGAGTCCCTGGACAGATTGTGTTAGTCACCCTAAAGACACGTTTCTTTTTAAGCAAGTAAATAAAACACAGTTTCTGACCTGCACACACACTCAGTTTCTGACCTGCACACACACACACAGTTTCTGACCTGCACACACACTCAGTTTCTGACCTGCACACACACACACACAGTTTCTGACCTGCACACACACACAGTTTCTGACCTGCACACACACTCAGTTTCTGACCTGCACACACACACACAGTTTCTGACCTGCACACACACTCAGTTTCTGACCTGCACACACACTCAGTTTCTGACCTGCACACACACTCAGTTTCTGACCTGCACACACACACACACAGTTTCTGACCTGCACACACACACAGTTTCTGACCTGCACACACACACAGTTTCTGACCTGCACACACACACAGTTTCTGACCTGCACACACACACACACAGTTTCTGACCTGCACACACACACACAGTTTCTGACCTGCACACACACACACACAGTTTCTGACCTGCACACACACACACAGTTTCTGACCTGCACACACACACAGTTTCTGACCTGCACACACACACACACAGTTTCTGACCTGCACACACACACACACAGTTTCTGACCTGCACACACACTCAGTTTCTGCCCTGCACACACACACACACAGTTTCTGACCTGCACACACACACAGTTTCTGACCTGCACACACACACACAGTTTCTGACCTGCACACACACACACACAGTTTCTGACCTGCACACACACACAGTTTCTGACCTGCACACACACACAGTTTCTGACCTGCACACACACACACACAGTTTCTGACCTGCACACACACACACACAGTTTCTGACCTGCACACACACACACAGTTTCTGACCTGCACACACACACACAGTTTCTGACCTGCACACACACACACACACAGTTTCTGACCTGCACACACACACACACAGTTTCTGACCTGCACACACACAGTTTCTGACCTGC